AGGAAAGGAAAGGAAAGGAAAGGAAAGGAAAGGAAAGGAAAGGAAAGGAAAAATGTTGTCCTTCCCTGAGTCAGCAACCACCTAATACAAACAGACAATGTCCTAAAACATAGAGTGCCTGCTGTAATTCTGGTAATTCCTCCTGGTATTACAAGAGGAAATGAATTTATTTCCTGATATTTCATGCTATTAGACTGAGGCCTACATTATTTTTGGGCAGGGGCTTGCACACCGTATACACTCTTCTAGAAATCCCTCTGTTGGCATGAAGGTGTTTAAAGCTGTCGTTTATGTGCTGTACTCTTTTCAGACTCACAAGGGCAAATCAATAATTTTAACAGAATTCTGGCACCTTCATAGTCCTGAGCAATGACTACACTGTAGTTCAACTGGTCTCTTCTTTAGCCACTTACATATGTACAAAATTTTGCATACAGCTTATCTGAAGTATTTGGATATACTTTTCTCTTGGATGGAGTTTATTATCAGTCTGTGAACTAAAAGTTGTATTCTGAAAACTGTGTTTAATGAATATTCATCAAACAAAAATCAAGGGTGATGATAAGTAACACTATAAAAAGAGATAAACATGGAGTCAAGCATGAGCCAAACATACCAAGAATGCACATGGCTTCACCTTCGTCACCTTGGTATTCCCCTTTTCTAGTACTGAATGGAGTTTGGTTTGCTGTCTGTCTGGGGCCTGTTTTGGGGTGAGGGTGAGATCCTCTCCCCCTTCTTTAGAACACCACATGGCACTTCTCTCTGCCAAGTCACAGGATCTAAGCTCCAACTGTGGCACAAATATGGGGCACTAGTAAGCAAAGTGTGCACATATGCCAACTCCACAGGCTTGCAAGACAAAGCCAGAAACTCACAATCTGGAAGAGAGAAACCCTTTGTGTTGGAGAGATTCTAAATGCACCAGAGAGATATGCAATGGTCATCTTTGACCTGAAAGGTTTTGCTTAAACTTGAAATATCTGGGTCACCTGGTGGTTTGAAACACATTTTTTGAAACATAATTTCTTCAGACTCCCGCTGGAACAGATATTCCAGGAGCATGACACATGTTGGGAGTACCAAAAATTGTTGTAAAAGGGAAGCAAAAGTGTGAGCAATGGTAGCACTGAGAAACATTGCATGTTGGCCTAAGAATAATGGTGGGGTAAGAGAAGAAGGCCAAAGAAAGAAAGAAAGAAACAAACAAACAAAATGAACAAAATGAGAGCAAATGTATGGAAAAAACTGACCTACGCTAGCATCATCTGTCAGCCACAGTAACAATTATTCTAGTATAACTTTTCCAAATAAATGTACATGTATGCTATAGGCTTTTGATTACAAATGCACTCAGGATGAAAACTTTGTGTATCATTTTGAAGCCCTTAAAGCACAGCTATACATACATACTATAAAAGTAGATATAAATTGTTTTCATCATATTTTTGCAAAAGGCAGCTTCGTAAAGGTCCAGTCCTATAAAAAAAAAATAGATAAATGTTTTTTTTCTCCTTCTCCCTCAAGGTCTAGTAGAAATTATCTCTCTGAATGCAAGCTCAGCTTCTAAAGCTGCATCAGCATTCATGGCTGGGAATGAAAAAGTGAATTACAGCTGAGTGCATTCAGTATGCCAGCTGGTGAATAAAGAAAAACAGCTGCTGGTGACCGCCAACTGTGAAGCTCATGTGGACAATGTTATGTTCAGAACATAAAATGAACAAGTTGCATGCTGGCATGGAGTCTGTTGCAACAAAAGTGCCCAGTGCCTTGTAAAACTTTACAAATGGAGTCCAACAGTAGAGACTTGCAGTCTTTTAAAAGCAAGGCAGACAGAAATATTGCAGCCTTTGCTATGTAACTGCTACAGCTAGCATGGGCCCTGCCTTGCAATGTGCACTGGAACTGAATGGGAACTATGCATGTCAACTGTAGGCTTTAAATATGATTCCCACTAATCTGGTGAACAGTGTTAGCAGAACTAGCAAGTTGTTAAACCACCTTGCAATATCCATGTCTTAGCCTGAACAAAGGAAGCAGTAACTCATACTGACACTTTATAGAGCTTTTTTGTTTCAGAGCACTTTACACCAGGACTGGGATCCATAGTTTGGAGTGATAACAAGAGTCTGTGTCAAGGAGAGGCGATTCGTTCTCCACCATGAGAACATGGACTGGGAATCAAAAGGCCTGGAAAACTATCTTCAAATTATTTGCTGGCCAGCTCTGCCCTTCAGGCAATTTCCACCTCACAATTACAAGAAAGAGGGGTTGGCTCCCACTACACTTTTTATGTGCTCATTACAAGGGGTCCCAAGGTCCACAGCTGTACCAGGGACACCCTGTGAGTTCATATCTCCTATGTTCTGTATGTGAAAGTGTGACTACATCTGTCCAGCATGATGGCAGCGTGCAGGCAGATGGGGTCACTTGACAAGTGTATTTTCTAATGGGTGACTGTGACAGAAGCATCCCTTGGGTCATGGTCCCTCCTGACACAGAAAGGTACCTTTTCTAGGTGCAGTATCACCTCTCAGCTTCTTATATTCCTGTTATCCACAGTTGTGAGAGCAGCACAGCACTCAGCATACATTAGCCACAAGTACTCTCATGTGAACAGGAAGTTGTGAGCCTGGCATGCTGAGCAGAAGGCTTAATGTTCTTCAAAGGACAGCAGTTCATTGAAATGCTAAATCTCTTGTACAGGGAAGCATCTCACCTCCTCCTCAGTTACTAATGATGAACATTTCTGCATGGTATTCCTTTTGCCTCTCATCCTGGTTGTGAAACCCCTTGTTAAAGTTCTCCCTGTAGGCCACCACAGGCTGAATGTTTTGGAGCAGTTAGTTGTTTCTCCCCCCTCCCATTTCCAGAATACAGTCTCTTACCTCCTCAGAAGGTCTCTTAGCAGTCATTTGTTAAGCTGCTTCAGATATTTTCCACTTGTAATGCAGCAGTCACCCGCCAGGCAGAAATATGGATGCTGTGTGCAAAGGCCAAGCCATTTCTCTCCACATGCACAAGATGTGTTTCCAGTAGACACCTCTTCCTGGGATAGTTGTTGCACTTGGAAAGCTCCTTCCACCTGGGACATTTTCCCTCATTAAAAAGGCATTCCTGATCTTAAGTACCAGAGAAGTCTTCCAAACCAGCCCTCTCAGAGGCTTGTGTGGCCCTCATGACTGGCCCATCTGACATTTCAGACATTTCTGCTGGACATGCCCCAGTGGGAAGAGCTCAGGACTGTTTTACAGAATAATGAATGACGATGCAGAGAGGCTAAAGGTGGGATTGAGCTCACCTCACTTCACCTACCCCCCAGATCAGGCATCTAATCAAACCTAGTCATCTAGGCTCTCTCTGCAGTCAATGAAGAAAGACAGGTACCTCCACAGAATGATTCATTCCTCCTTTCTTGGACAACTATCCTAAAATAGGATGAATCGTACTCTGGAGATGCCTGTCTGTCTGCCTGAATGATAGGGGAGGCCTAAATAACTAGTTTAGCGGAGATACCTATCTTCAAGATGGCTTTGGCTAAGTGCCATTCTCCTGCTCTGGGTGACTTGCCAAGGTCAAGTGTGGGGAAGAGTCATGATGAGACCCCTTCTCCCTCTTCCCAGGCAGCTGCCCAGCTGGAGGGTCCTTGTTCTCCAAGGAAACATTCTTTAAAGCAGGAAAATGTTAAAAACTTTCTCATTGTGCCTCTGACATCATGTCCTAACACCATCACTGTCCCATCCAAATTCTTTTGAAACCCAAGAACTACCATTAAAGCACAGATGTAGAGTTTTTCCACTGTCTTTTTGTTCTTTCTTTAAAACAGAGCAAGAGCAACAACACAAAAAAAAACCACAAGCAGGAAAATGCAGGAAGAAAAGGCTTAGGGCAAAAGCATGGTTTCTATCTAATTTGAATTCAAATAAGATTTTCATTATTTTTAAATTTAATTATAGCTTTCAAATGTATAAAATTGCATGTGAAAATAGTACACAGAACTTAAATATACCCTGGAACACCAGACAGAATCACAGACACTACTAATTTTCAGGCATGCCGCTGTCTTGATTAACATAACATCATGATACCTTCCTTTGTGTGCTCAGCCTTCACTCCTGACTGACTAAGTGGATGGAGAAATGCCTTCTATACACCTTACAGAAGAACACAAATACAGTCCTATCTGAGGCTCAGTGAGCAATCTTGACCTTAGGAAGGGACTCTGGGACTCTCAGTTATAAAGTACCCTAGAGAATGTAACTGGAGACAGTAATTTTCCAGAAGTACTATTTAACTAACTATAATCATTTGTACATCACATATATAATTTCCTAGAAAATGCTATTGGAGATTTTCATAACTCACTATATCTCAGCATTAAAATACAGTGCAAATATCTCAAAGGCCTTTTGGTAATATCCATTGTTGGTCCAGTTGAACCCTCTTGGCATTTTCCAATTATGTCATTAACAATTTTATTCATAGGGATAAAATAAGAGTACAGGACATGATCCAAATATGCTGACTGTTTTGCTTCCTTTTTTTTTTCAGTGCTTTCAGAGATGTCTTTCTTTTTTTCTCTCTCCTTTTTTTTTTTTTTTTTTTTTTTTTTTTTTTTTGTTCACCAGAAAACACAGTAAGAGTAAGGGCATTAGTGAAATATAGCAGTTTTGTTTGTTTGTTTGTTTTTTTGCAGCTCCTGGAAGGAACTTCATGCAACAAATAAAAGGTAATTCTTCAACCCATAGGCTTTCAAAGGTCTTTTGAGAGTAGCAAAAATGTCAGAACCTCTTCAAAAAGTCTTTAAGTATACTACCTTTGAAGTATTGGGCAACTTAATTCAACAGGTCATTAATAGCTCTCACAAAAACATACCAGTAATAACGAGCAGTTATGGAACTGAATGGGGAAGTTCACATCTTTCTCAAGGTCCATGCTTTGGTTAGTTTGTTTGTTATATAAATCAGGCCTAATGGGCTCTAAGATGTACCCAACATTTAACTTGCAGCCCAAGAGATGAGAATTGTACACCTGCTTTTCTTTTCTTCCCTTTTTAGTACTGAGAGTTCAGATTCTTTTTCTGGGCTCCCCTAGAACACAGTTCTCAAGAATTTATTGACAGATTGTGAATTAATTCAAACTTCAAATCAGTGTCATCCTAGACTCTGAGAAGCTGGGGGGGGAAGGGAAGGGAGGAGGGATGGATTGTTCTTCTCTACCTCGGCGCTGAATTATTTTTTCTTTTCAGAGATATTTCAGTCACTGTGTGTGTAGGCTCATGTGTTACATACACTGACAGCTTTCAAGCATAGCTCCTGCCTATCTCTTAGTCCTCAGACCTCAGGATTTCTCACACAATTCCTGCATGGAGGTGTACAGCTCTGGTCTTGGAGACTAAATTATGCCACAGTGATCAGATGGGGACACAGGCACTTCCTTCAGTGACTATGCATTTTTCATTTAATTCTCAAAGAAAAACAAATATATTCCTTGCAAGTTTACAGCAGTGCACTGGAAAATTTCAGTAGTACAGTGTGCTATTACCATGAGGACAAGAAAATACCTGTCTGCAGAAGTGCAGAGACGAGTCAAGGTCCTGCTGAGGGCTCTTTCAGGCCAGCTTCCTTTGGGATGGCTCCCAACCTTGTGGGGCAGGCTGCTGCTCACCAAGGACATGGCTGTGGAGGTCCATGAGTCAGGCCCTTATTCAATGACTGCCAGCTGGTGGTTCCACCACCACCACCACTGCTGGTTCTCATTGCTGCTGAGCAGGGCCGGCCACCAGCTGACAAAATGTTAAGCAACTATCCAAGTTCCCTCCAACCACTCACGGCTTGCAGAGGCCCTGCGAGGCCAAATCTCTGAGAAACTAGAGCAAAGAAGGGTGGAAAAGTCATGCAAGCGTCACCAGCAAACCTCTAGCCTAACTGAAAGCTTGTTTCTAGATCTCATACCATCTGCTGCAATATTTTCCATTTTGCGTGCTCAGGAGTTTGGTTTAGTCTTTGGAAAAGCAGCTCCAACCTTCAGCCTCCGTGCTCCGTCCCCCATTAGTAAAGTTCACAACAACTTGGCTTCATTCCCACTTGGAAAATGTCCTCTGCACTAACAAGCTACTGGCCAAACTTCTCCCTGGGCAGCTTGAAACCTGCCAGACCAAAATGAGATCTGTAAAACTGGGCTGACAGCACATTGTCTATATGGACTTTCCAGGCCATTTGCCAGGCCCTAGTGGCCTAGTTTTAGAAAGACAAATTGAAATGATAATCAGCTAGCTAAGCTCTCCTCAAACTATTCTAGAGTGACAGAACAGTGTGCTTGCCAGGCCTAACCTCTCGTACTGAAATAATCACCAATGGCTTTTAAAATAAATGGCAACAGGGGTCAGAGAATGTTAGTAGAGGTGAATCTGAAATACCCTTAGGAGGCTTCACCTCCTGTGTGAGGTTTGCCACCTTCAGCTCAGTGGTAAGGGGTGGTAGCAGGTTCTGGGATTTCCATGCATACACCCTGGAGATTATCTGCAGGATATCTAACAGAATGGCAAAAAGCTCCCAGGATTCATCAGCCATGCAAGTGCACACCTGGAATACAGCACAAGATAAAATCCCAGTACCTGCTCTCCCTCAGAGTCCTGCCTGGGGGCTTAGAGCCCATTCCTTCTCCCCAGGTCCTCTTACTAGCCAGCCCGATGTCTTCCTCCTATGATCTGTCTGAGGGTCGATACAGCATGGTTTTCATAAGCCAGGATGTTTCAAGGGGTGTGTATTATCCACAGCTATTTTTGTACACATGGATGCCCCATCCCTGAAAGTGTTCAAGGCCAGACTGGATGGGGCTTTTCACAACCTGGTCTGGTGGGAGGTGTCCCTGCCCATGGCAGGGGGTTGGAATTGGGTAATCTTTAAGGCCCCTTCCAAGCCATTCTATGATTCTGTGAAATCCATGCAAGACTCAAGTCTACAAGAAATGTTAGACACCCATCCTAAATACCATTTTGGGGGTGACAGACTGTTTGGATTTAAGTGATTAGCATGTGCTTTTGAGGGTGAGGAAGACATTGCCATTGCTCAGCCTAGATCAATATTATTTTTGTCTTTTGAATGAATGTATTCTTAGGTATTACTAGGGCCAAAACTTTCTTTTTTTTTTTTTTTTTTTTTTCTTTTTTTTTTCTTGTTCTTTTTCTTTTTAAAGTGGTGGCACTCTTAATATGCTATATTTTTTAAGGGTATCTTGGTATAAAGGGAAAATGCAAGTATTTTGTGTTCTCAAGTATTAGCAAATGTTGAATAGAGAAGTACATGAGATCTAGTGTTTGCAAAAGTAAACTGTGATTATGAGATATACAAATGATTCCTGAACCCAGTTCTCCGAAGATTTAATGCATTTATTTATAGCTGACTGATTTGGGACTAAAATATTGGAACACATTCACATATTCTTGTTTCTTCTGCCTCAGTTTATGGTTGTTTTATTTTTTTTATTTTTTTATTTTTTGCCAGGAACCAAAGGAAAGAGAACCTTTTATAACCACAGCACTTGTCTCCTTTCCAAGGCATGAAAAAATAAATAAACATTTACTAAGCACGGGCAGTACAACCCACAAATCAAGGGGAGGATCTTTTCTCTCCAGCAGTCTTTCATCTTGGAAAACTAAACAATAATATTGATTCTCTTCTACACAAAACTCCACTGCACTATAGAAATATTTCAGTAGAAAGAGGGAAAAGCAACAGGAAAAGAAACAGCTATAGCATCTTAAGGGAAAGAACAAGACTTTGATTCTTCAACATTTAGTGCAGCAGCCCAGCTTGGAACAAAAAGGCTCGGGAGTGGAGGAGTAAAATAATACATAGTCCCTGGACAGCTTCCTTACCTTAACCACAGTTCCCCAAGTTCATAGTTTTATATTCTTGAACTCTTGCCTTGTTCCCTGCTGCATAAAACACATGTATGCCGTTAGTGGTTTTTCTGCAATTAGAAAACAGTTCTAGATGTTGACTTTGATGCTAATCTGTGATATTTGGGCGCATGCTGCTGCATATCTTGAAAACTCCATGGCATGGAAGTAATAATATTTTTTAATATACTGGTCTCTATATTGCTTAGTTTGGTGAAGAATCTTGCATATTTTTTTTTATTTTATTTTTTCCTGTATGTCTAGGTTTACATTTTGGATAGATTATGCTTCCCTGCTTTTTGACAAAGCTTTTCAGTGTATCAGAAGATGAGGCTGTTTCTCAAGAGTACACTTTGTGCTATGTATAAAACAACATTAGTGACAGGGTGTGCTTTTTTCAGTTGGAACTGACATTTGATACATTAGCCAAATGGGGACCTCAGCCAGATCATAATTGGATATGTATTTTCAACATCCTCAGCCCTTCAGCCAATTGGCTGGGACTCCAGGAGACTTATTAGTAGAAATGCAGCTTTATCTTTTTTACTAATCTGACTAAAGTGAAACCATCAAAGAAGGAGCCAAAATGAGGGAAAGAGAGAAAGATAGAAATACCAGACCTTAGGCAGCATGCTGCAGTTCAAGAAAATTATGGCTCATTAGGCTTTGCAGGCAATGGCAACGTGCAGAAAAGGTATCACAAAATGGCTTGAAGATGAAGAATATTTTCAAGCTGTACATATTTGTCATAACCAAACACTTCATGACCTAAAGGAAGATTCCAACAGTGAGTATTGGCCCAAATCTAGAGACATTTATTCTGTTTTCGTTTACTGCTAAAGCAGGTTGAAAAAAGCCTGCCAGTAAATGCATTTGCAAAATCACACCAAGTCTTTTTCAGGCACATCATTTTGTCAAATGTTTGTCATTGTGCAGCTGGAAGAACAATTTATATATGATGTCACACAGGGAAGAAGCTGATGAATTTAGCTTCAGTCCACAGATTTTGTTAGCTGTGTTCAAGATGAACTAGGTTCAAATTCCTTCCCTCTTGCATGGTTCATCCTGATGATGTGTTTTAGTGCATATTAGTGAGTAAGAGTGACCATGACATTAGAGACAGCAGGACCTGGGCAAATGACTCTTGTAAAAGGGATGGACCATGAGAAGTTTTGCATCAAGATGTGAACCTTGTGCAAACTACAAGGACAGCATTTCTGGAAAAAAAAAAAAAAAATCCTCCAAAATAGATCTAAGCAAAGACTCCTGCTGAAGTACAACAGCACATGGATACACCCACAGAGAGCTCTTTACAGAGTAAGAGCTTGCATGTTCATTTAGAAAACTTGCAAGCTGTAAGACACTTCAGTAAACTGTGCTTTAGCATACCTACTTCCAGCTGCTATAGGCTGATGCCTTTGCCATATGTGAATTCATAAGTCCAGCCCTGGCTTGACATATGAATGTAAGCAATGAAGGAGCAATCCACCACTGCTCATTGCTGGGCAATGGTAAGAATACTAAAAAGAAGGATCTTTTTTTTTTTTTTTTTCTCCAATGAACAATTCAACTGCCATAATATGGAAACACTTAGAAAAGGTTTATCTGGAATTCTTTGTTTTAAGCAAAGCAAAAATTAACAAACCCAGATCAGACAGTGGTCTAAATGGTTTAGCATTTTGTACCTGATCATGATCAGTATCAGATGCTATCTAGAAGCATTAAGAGTTGACTACACTCCTAGGTTTTCTTCTTAAGTGGTTAATATAAAAGTCAGAGAGATGTGTCTGAGCACTTTGTTAATGTTAAAGCCAGCAATACATCCCTCTTATAGCCCACAGCACAAGGGAGGTAATTTAAACTAGTTTAGCAAAACACTCAAAAGAATCAGAGTCAAGCAAGTTGTGTTTCACCTCTCATCTACCACTGATGAATTTCAGACACACGAAATGGCTGTCACAGGTAAGGTGAATTGTGGTCATTTTCTCCTGTCTGATATCTTACTCTGGTCTGAGCCCCACGTTAAGTAACTGCCTGAAGGTCTTCCACAGCCCCACAGGCAATGGTGTGCTTGGTTCCCTCCAAGCCATGGCTCTGGAGTGAGCCATGGCAGGCCCCAGGGGTTTGCCCCTCAGGGAAAACGCTTCTGTCAATGACTGTTTGGTCTGGTCTCTGAGATGTTCCTCATCCAATTCTTGATGTATAAAGGGCAGGCTGAAGGTTTTGTTTTTGTTTTAATGTCAGAGCAAACTCACAACTAACAAGAAAATCCTCTGCAATCCCCCTTTGCTCTTCCCAGGTACTGGATTCCTTCTCTTCCTCTCTCCGGCTGCTTACACTGTTGCCAGTAAATCCAATGGATAAACTCTCCCCATGGTCACAGGTTTCTGTTTTGCCCTACTGCATCCCCCAATAGCCCCCAATGTGACCACTGGGGCTATGTGGTTTGCCAAGCAAGCCATCCCCTTCCCAGGTGCTCGCTTTTCACTACTCACAGGGGACAAAACCCTGGAGTTTCAGCCACTTCCATTGTCTAAACTAACAAGTTTAGCTTCACAACTAGGGTGGGCTAAAACCAGGCAAGCAGCAATCTGATCACTTATAGTCACTGTCTAATTTCTAATCTCTAACAGCATTACCCAGCCAGTGAGTTTTTATGGTTTTCCTTAGTCTCTGGAGAGGAGGTAGTAAGAAGGGGGTTGCTAAAGTCCAAAATAAATTGTTCTACAGAATTCACCATTTTGCTCATATTCAAAAGTAATTCAAACAAGCCCTTAGCTTTAAACTTAGAGGACCTTTAAAAGGCAGGGATTGAAGCAAGCACTGAATGGATTTTCCTACAAAGTGTGGTTATTCTGTTCCCATATGCAGTACTTCTAATCTATCTTTACATGATGCTTCATTTTCTGATAGACGCTAATATTATTTAAGCATGTCTACTGAATATCATTCGGCTAAATATTACAGATGGCTGACCAAATATCACCTCTTGTTAAACATCTATACAATAATATGCCATCAGAGAGTTCTGTTGTTTATATCACAGCTCAAAGAAAAGAGCAGTGGCTAAAGATTGAAATCATAGACATCAAAACTGCCTTCTTTCAGATTTTCCAGGCTAAAACTCAGTGATTCATGGAATGTCCAAGCTCGCTACTGTGAAATATCTTCTTTCATTGATGATTATCTTGCTAATACTCATCAAGAACAGTTTTTGTTTTGTTTTGTTTTGTTTTCTGTTCCATGTAGATAATATTTGTTTTTCTGATCAGTTACCTGGCCTTCTTATTCATCTCATCTAGTGAATATATTAAAAAGAGAAGTATCTGTGATGGATGACAGTCAAAAACCACTTGCTTCTGATAAGAAGTCTCAGGTGGTGGATCAGTCATGCTGAAATACAAGAAACTTTCAAGATATGCAAAATTATTCATGATCACTTTTTTTTTTTTTTTTTTTTTTTAAACTGGGCTGTAGTTAATGCAAACCAACTATTAATAAAGAATCAATCTCACTGTTCACAATAAGGAGGTAGGTTCTATAGTCAGAACAGCTTCAGAAAGACAAGGAAATGAGGGCAGCAAAATGTCATCTCTAAGGGGAATATAATATCACAATAAATTATTTTACTTTAAGTCCACACTGTAAGTACTGTAATGGTAGGCTACAAACACAGCTTGGAAGAAAAACTCCATGTGTCTGCTTCATTCCAAATTAAAAGTTGAAATTTTAGCATAAAAAAAAATAAAGGTAAGAACTCTATTTCTGAGTCTCTGAAATGAGGGTATTACAAACAACCAGAGCACAAGGAGCACAGGACACTTGCTCACAAGTGGGATCATTGTGGATTTGCACCACACTGCAGCAGCATGTACATCTCATTAACTGCA